AACAGACCATCGAATCGGGCATCAATATACATGAGACTTGGTACTTGTCCCAATTTTCATCATCCCAAGTCTGTTTGTTGTACGTTTCACACCACGAGGTCAGACTTGGAATTCCGAGCTTGGACTTGATTGTCGAGTCAGAAAGTTTTGGTGGCTTGTTGGGAAACAAATGCACATCAGGGGTAATTAGCAGATTTTGGTGCATTGAAAACTGGTGGCAATGTGAAAAAACACCTGTACCTTACCTACGTGTGTTGAGATACTGCGTAGCCGAGTCTCTGTACCTACCTTGGTAGGTACATAGGCACTAACGTAACTAGGACTTGGACGTCGGATTTTATTGCACATTTGGTAGGTGACTTCAGGGTCTGTTCATTGTCGTCTTCTATCCTTCTTCTGTTGTTCGATCTCTCGCCTTTAGCGTGCGCCCGGGCCCGTGGATGGGACGGGCGGCGACGGGCCGTGACCGGGGGTTACAGCTGTTGCTGGGTAACGCCGTGAAGGTTGTTTATTGTTGATGCCGAATTGAAATTAGATATTCTCCTTTTTATGAGTGTCTGTTGAATGAAACCAGACTAATCAATCCACCTAATGCAATGATAGTGCAGTTTCATGTGATATGAATTTCATTTAATCTCCTGGAGCATCCGTTATGCTCTGATGATTTATCTATGGTCTTATACGTAATCATGGTAATACGTCAGCAATACCATGAACGTCTAGAAACTGTAGCAATCCGTCTTGTACACCCCTTGCTTCCTGCCATGCCATGAAGTTCGTAAAAGTATTATGAGTAAACCGTACAAACCCTCTATAGCGCTCTGAAAAAAAAGAAGAGAAAAAAAGAACCGCTGTGCCTCCTCGACACACGAAACCGCCATGATTCTGGGGTGACGATGCTGGGAGGAAGGCAGGGCATGAGCCGTTCAAGCAAACCGTAAAATGCAACGTAAAAGCCAACGAGGTTGATACACAAGCCGCTCTGCTATGCAGCGCAGAGAATCAAGTTCTTACAGTAGAGGTAGATCGTTGAGAAAAATGTGACACCAATATATGGATGCGTAGGGAAAGGTGCGGGCTCTTGGACAATTGCTCAGGAGGGCATTCCCCCTTCCTAAGGAGGCGTCATTTGTTCCTCCATGAGCATCTTGCGGACCTCTGTCTCGAGGGTCTGCTCTGTCACACCGGGATCTTCGTCAGTCACAGCACCAGTGACCTTGTTCGCGAGCTCGATCTTCTTCTGACAAGCTTTGTAGATGAGCTCCTCGATAGTGTTGGAAGCGATAAGTCTAATGATTTCGACTTCACGCTTCTGACCAAGCCGATGGGCTCTGTTCTCGGCCTGGATGTCATCTTGAGGGTTATCCGACTGGTCGAAGATGATGACCTTGTTTGCGGCCGTGAGGTTGATACCTGTGCCACCTGCTCCGGTTGTGAGCAGGAACACTGGAATATCCGGGTCATCATTGAACTCGTTAATCAGCGTCTGTCTCTCCACAACATGGGTGCTCCCCATCAAGACCTGGTGCCGAATATTCTGCTGATCGAGCACTTCTTGCAGCAGCTCAATGACGCGAGAAAACTTGCTGAACACAAGGACTCGGTCACCGTTCTCCTGATACTGATTGATGAGCTGGAGAAGTTTCCTCACCTTTCCGCTGTCCATCTCAGTCTCTGGAGGGATGTCGAACTTTCCGAGAAGGCCTGGATAGTCACGACACCAGAGGTGAAGTCCAAAGTCTGAGGAATCCTTAAGTTCTTGGATAAGATGCTTTATGTCGGGTTGACGGAGTTCATCCTGAGAAACGCTATCCATCAGGATTCGAGCCATCTTCTCAACCTTTTTGTCATCAAAATGACGCCTGAAAAGGAGCGGGTGGAGTGCCGCCTTTCGAAGCTGCATCCAGCAATTGTTCTGGTCATTTCCACGGCCACGGACTTTTGCGACGCGCTTGGACGGCTCAAGCTTGAACATCTCCTCGTACTCGGCATACACTTGCTTCTGGTTCTCGTCCATGTCGCAGCGGACGACACTGCAGATCTTGGAAGGCATATCTGACAAAACTTGATCTTTTCGACGCTGAAGGATGAACGGCTCCAAGATAGTTCTGGCTCGCTTAACACGCTCACTGTACAGAAAAGCACCGTTTGAAACGTCTCTGATAGTGACCTTTTGGCTAAAGATGTACTGAATGTGTTGCATGCAGCCATTGAAGATATCGGGGTTTATGAAATTGAGGAGTGAGGTCATCTCCAACAAATTGTTCTGAACAGGAGTTCCTATACAACATTAGCAAAAGCGCCCATGACAAGACCAGAGGCAACATACCTGTGAGGAGCATTTTCCATGATGCATGAATACGGCGAAGATCTCTGTATATCTTGGTCTCTGGGTTTTTCATCTTGTGGCCTTCGTCAAAAATGGCAGTGTGCATCCCAATAGACTGCATAGCCTCAATATCCGCGTCGTTGTTAATCTGTGAGTATGTTGCAAGCACGACATGGAAGGCTTCAGGATCATGTTCGATCTCATATGCGATCTCAGCTCGCTCTGCCTGAGAGCCTCGGTATCCGATCACCGAGAGGTCTGGAGCAAATTTCTCAAATTCTCCTAGCCAGTTGTTGTAAGTACTTGGGGGAACGACGATGAGATTGGGCCAAGGTCGGGTTTTTCTCCCCCCTTTGTTCTCCTCATAATCCTGAACAAGGTGGCAAATGAGCGAAATGACTTGGCAAGTCTTGCCCAGCCCCATCTCATCGGCAAGGATACAGCCTATGTTAAACTTGTGGAGGAGGGACATCCAATTCAGGCCTACAAGCTGGAAAGGTTTCATCTGACAATGCCCATCCATGTACTTGGGCTGTTGGGCAATGGGTGGGCGCACGTATCTGGGCGCGCTGATGCTTGTAGGGGTTGGAGGCAGATCGTCCGAGTTTTGGCTTCGCTCTCGCTTGCTATGCCCGAATGTATCGATGTCCCAGGTATCAAGCTGTTGTCTGATATTTTTTGCATCGCGGTCACACTTGCCGACAACATTGTCGATCGCGGCAACTGCGTCAATAAAGACCTCGACTGCTTCCACAACATTCTCTCCAATGCTGACTTTGGAAGCCTTTCGGGCGCCAGGCTTTTTGCCGACGGTGACACGCCTAGCCTTGGAGATGTCATCAAAAGGTCGCTTCTCGATCATGCAAGCAAGTTGCTCTTCCTTCATGCCTGTCATGGCAGCCAGTTCTTGAACAGTGCTTGTGTTGAGGCAAGTCAGCACTCGATCATCCTCATTGTTTGAAGGCTCTGGCGATGCCTCTGCCTGATACGTATCCTCCTGCCCATCGTCGACAAGGTCAATAATTAGCGGATCGTCGCTTGAGGCATGGGCGGGGGGAGATGACGGGAATGCCGGAGACGAAGGGATCGAGGCCTTTCGGAGACCTTGTACTAGTCGCCGTCGGGGTTTCTTTATAGGGCTGAGGGATGCTGTGCGTGAGCGGGAGTTGACCCGGCTTGCTGCCGCTGATGATTGGAGAGCCGCCTTGCTAATCAGACGTCTGCCAGGTTTAGGGTTGGGCGCCGGCTGTTTGGGCTGACGCATTTGTTTTTCGAGATAATCTATTGCTTCTGTGAGATCGTTTTTGCATGCACTCAAAGCCTCCTTGGCCTCGTGCGAGGGCACTCTTTCTCCAAAAACATCATAAATCTGTCGGAGTTTGTTCTTGATGGTCTTTTCCGAGTTCTCTAGTTCAGGATTGTACGCGAATGCCGAGATCTGTGCCTTAAACGTTGTCGGTCGAATATCGCCACGGGGAGGTGTTAGGTCGTCCTCATCGTCCGAGATGAGATTGATAGGCTCAACGGCCGGCCGCTTGTTGGTCATTGCAGGAGGAGGCCGTTGTGGAGGACGAAAAAAGGTACCGAGAGGGGCAACTCTGCTACCAAGAGTGTTACCCAGAGGCGTAGGCTTTTTAGGTTGTTGGAAGGGCGACGATGCAGGAACTTCCACAATGCTGCTTGCAGGAGAGGAGCTTCGCATCTGTGCAAGTCCGGGTTTCTGAAGGACTTGTGTGGGCTGTGTTGTAGTATCTCGATCACGAAAAAAGGCGGATGGAGAGCAGGGAATTGTGTCCGTTATTTCATCGGCATCGTCAATGGTTATTATATCGCGAGCGAGCGATGGGGTGCGAGGTAGAGCGTTTGAATGCCGGATTGGCAAGGGTGAGGAGCTTCGTGCCATTATAATTGTTGGTGAATTATTATGGGCATACGAAACAATAGGAGTAAAAATCGAGGCTAGCAGTGCTTTGGATCGTCTAGGGCGGGAGCTGCCACTGCAATTGAATGGATTGAGCGTTTGGTCTGTTCTTCTCTGCCCTTCTTATCGTTCGGCAAACAGAAAGCAGAGTACTGGATGAAAGTGGCAGACCGGTGTCATCAAGGAGAATGCTTAATAGAAAAGAAGAAGAAATCAGGAAAAGACGAGTTTAAAGTCGGAGAGTCAGAGACGATGGTGCTTGCGAGTACCAGGAGGATCCCAATCCAAAATCCTGGAGGGGCGTGAAGTGAGCGAGTGAAGGTGGAGATTTTTTGAAGTGCACTCAAATCTCTAACGCGACCCGCATCGACTGCATCACGAAGTCACGTGAAAAACCAGCTTCGCGTCAGTGTCATAAAGTGAGAGAGAAAGGTTGTAAGGAGTCAATTGAATCAGTCAGGGAAGAAAAACAAGGATGGCCTGGTTGGATTGGTAATTATACGACTGACGATTTTCTTTATGGATCTCAACTTATTGTGAGAACAAAGAATTCTACATTTCCTATCCGATGGCGCGCGTTGATCATCTCGTGTTAAGTGCTTCTTAATTAGGTGTGCATCTCCTATGTTAGTCGCACGTGCGAGTGGGGTCCCACCTCTAACCTTCACAGCTCAATTGAGTACCCTCAGCTCGACCATCGCAGCACTCAAGACGATACCGTGCTTAACACTCCTCTCGTACACTTTCAAAATGGCCACTCGACGCATCGTTGCTACTGAAAAGACCTTCCTCGATAAGGATGATCCCATCGATGAGCATTCTAGTACTGCTCCTGCAGTTCCCAGGTAAGTTTTCTATCTATCCACCTTGTTCAAACCGCCATTATTGCCACCTATCTCATCTTGTTCACTGCTCTACACTACATCGAGCACATCGATCTTGACTGACAATTTTGACAGCCAAGTCATCTACAAGCTTCTAGCATTCACTTTTGCCATGATTGTGGTCCCCATTGGTTCCTATTTCCTCACTGTTAATACCGTCTTTCGTGGTATATCTTTTCACCCGGACGTGTCATCATCGAGACTAATCACAAACAGGAAACTCTTCTCTTGCTGGTGGCTTAGCTGCTGTCTTGGCCAACGTCGTCCTTGTGGGATACATTATTGTAGCTATGAAAGAGGACCAGTCGGACAAACAAAAGCCAGAGAGCAAGAAGGACAAGTAGGCGCACCGTCATCAATAAAAGTTGATTCACTCTTTCATAAATTTGTATCCGGCCAGACGAGAGTCTCAGGGGTAACCGTCTCAATTATTTTCTCACGTCATCTTCATGACCATGCCTCGCTACCTTGGGCCGACCATCATGTCTGGATGACCTCTACAGCCACGTGTATATGCTATGTACGTCTTAATTGTGAGTATAATTAATGATGATCGTGGTGGTAGATCCATCCTCTGCCCTGCTCGTCAAGGATACCCTCAAAAGGGTTGACTACACAAGGCCTAACCTGCCAACGCCTCGTACAGTTCCGTTTGCTAATGTACCATTCCGTAATAAAACTCAAGTGCTTCGCCTTATTCCATAGGGAAAAACAAACCGTATCGTCACAGCTGTAAACCAATCTGACCCAAGTTAAACAGTATCTGCTGCTCTGCCCTACAAGAGGGACGAATCACGAGGCATGGCAGCATACTCCAGGGGTCCATCGCAAAATCCGTCGAATAGTACAGGCGCTTCAGGTACTGTTCGATTGTGCCATTCGACGTTGAATATCAAAGAAAACGGGTATCGACAAATGAAAGTAGTTGCATAATAAGGTTTGTTTCGTGTACGTGTCAAACGTTGATAGTCATTCCTGAGCCGTCGGTTCTTCAAGAGTTTTTGCTGAATCTACGAGAAAACCAACTCTTGCGCTTGTCCCCGCCAGCTGTTTGTTGAGGTTGGTGTGTTGACTGTAGAGTTGATGTCCTCCTTAAAAGGGTATTCTTCTGTTTCTGTGGTGGAATCGAGGCCTGACCCTGTGTCATAGGAGGTTGCGAATGCGAAGGTGGTGGTGCTTGAGGTTGTCCCTCATTGTTCACCCCAGAACCAGATGCTGGCCAAGGGCGTGACTGGTATGGCTGCTGAGGCTGATATGAGCCGGATGCATACTCATTGAATGGCTCGCGGCGCTTAGCCGGCATCGTCCGATCGATTGAGCTGTTGTCGCTGCTCGTAGGGTCTGTCTGATACCCTGCGTGATCCGAATTGCCACTACCCGCAGCAGAAGTCACCGTCTCGTATGATCGGTCCTTGTGGGGGAGAGGATAGATATTCTGATCGTGGCCGCTCTGGTACTGTGGCTCTGACTGCATTCTAGACATCCGTTGCCGAGATGGACCAGTGCCAAAGCCATTGCTATAAGCTTGCCCATCGAAATAGTTGCTTCGGGTAGAGCCATTCTCAAATTGGTTCTCCGGTTTAAAGGAAACGGGGCGATTGTTGTAGTAGTTGTCGCGAGGGAAGCGAGGTTGACTGTTATAAGAACTATTCCGCCTGTTCCAGTTGGCTTGTGAGTCCGTTTCTGTGCGATGTTAATAAGTTGATTGAATTTGATGCAAGACATCTTACTTACCCGCTCGGTAGAGAGACTTGCGTGAGTAACCACCATCGATTGCGGCCTCGAAACTACGGATAGTGTCTAATGGGCGCTCCCATCTGTTTCGAGTTGGGTTCGATTTGTCGGGATCCGCTATATGAGTTGTCAGTGGTGTCATGTTATCTATGCTAGCGAGTCTACCCACCGATAGAGTTGCCGAAGGCATCCTTGTGTTGCATGGACCGCAGAGGAGCAAAATTCGACTCGGTCATCATCGCAGCGATGGCAGCTGTTGCAGTATTAGCAGGTGATCTCAACTTCCAGCTGTAAGACTCAGGAGATGTCCTAACATACATGGCTCTGCTTCGCTTATGGCTAACGTGGGATCCGCTTTGCTATGTAAACGCTTCGCTTCCTTCTCGGCGTGGGTTTCTTGCAAGTCCTTGCTACCAGAACTCTTATGCGACTTTTGAGAATGAAAGCTGAAGGTTCGGTTGTGGGCTGGCGGATTCTGCGAACCTTTGCGCGGCGAGACAGGGGCAGCCTGTTGATATTGCTGCTGTTGATGATCCTGCACCGGATAATTCGACGGCGCCGGCGGATATTGGCGATATTGTTCAGTGGAGGTAGCCATGGTCGCGGCGCTTGGGGGGACGACTGTTTTATTTGATATGGTGCTTGGCCGCAATGGATCTCAGAAAGGCCCTGGCTTGGCGATTAGAGTCTCAGCGTGATAAGGCGGATGGAGAGTTGCAGGCAATCGACCGATGCGATGGGGATTGTGGATAAGAAACTGGAGATTGCAAGGAGCAACGCGGTCGGGGAGAAAAGACCGAAACCAGACCAAACGGCTACTAGCAAGGAAGAGCAGGAATTATCGTGGATCCTGGGACGAATGTATTGGGAGTGGAGATTTATTAAGAGTTGCTGGCGAGAAAGGCTGTGATGAGAGGCTGGGCTTTCGAGCAATAGTGTGGCCCGGTTGCGTCGGAGTTTGGGGGTACGTATCGTATCAGAAAAGATCCCAGTAGATAGGTACTTAGGGAAGGGGTGGGGATGGCTCGTGGGCGGGCGCCTGCACTGCAAGAGAAGAGCCAGGTACGACAGGCTTTATAAAGAACGAGTGGCTAATGAGACAAGGCGATGATACCGTACTCTGCAAGCCAAAGTGAGGTGAGATGTGAGATGTGTCGCTGGTGGCTGCGGGTGTCTCTGACTCCGTACGCGGGACGATGTGATCATTCGTTGGCGCTGTGGTCTTGGCCTGGACTGGTACTTTAATTTTGAACAACCGGAAAGCAACGCAAGAGAACGATGCGATGTATATCCGTAGAAAGGCACTGAGTTCTTGCCCTTGTCATTGGCCGTGAAATAGTCCAATAAATTTGACCGGGATGTGGGAAAGCGAATCGCTATTTTCTTTATCAGGCCGTGTTCAAATGCAAGCTAGAGCGGCGCTGGGTGCGTTTTGATGCTAATGCCTGCGGCTGCGTGATAATGATGTGGGATCGGCGTGCCGGGGGCTGATCCTCGTAAAGTGACTGCCGCTTTTTTGGTCTGCTTGTTGTCTCTTTGGCAGTGCCTGAGTATGGAGCTTATCCCCTTTCGTCTTTGATTGATCTTTTTTTATCACTTTGTTGGGGTATCCGTCGGAGAAGGGATCTTCGAACAAGTCCAGTGCTTCGTAAGTGCTTGCGTTGGGCCTGGCAGACTACTCGTTTGGTTTCTTTTTTCCTTTTGCTTTCTTGACGTCACTATTAATTAGAAAATTTCTAGTGTCGGCTGGCGTGAAGTTCAGGGGAATTGAGCCGTGCCACGTTGAAACTGATCGGAAGAATCGTCCGGAGTGGCTTGCTGCTGAGACTCTTAATAGTGCTCGCTTTTGATGGACAGGGGTCCAGTCGATAGTGGGCCTCGCGTGTTGTCGAGTCACTAAAAAGGTGACGGAACGGAGTTGGAAATTTCTCAGAGGTCGGGGGCAATGAAGATTGTTGTTTAAGCCAGCCTGGGGATTCGACTGGATGTCGAGCTAATACCGCGAAGCCAGATGCAGTTTGTTGGAAATCTGGGGATAGCCGATGTGCAGTCGAAGTCGTAGGAGGAAGCGTTGATTTACAGTGGGATCCTGCTCGTTGATCAATTACTCATGAATGCGCAGATGAGATGTCTAGGTAGGTAGGTAGGTTCTTGATAGGTTATTGAATAGCAATCTGCCCCTGTATATGGGTTCGAATCGATGATAGCTTCAGCGCAAAGCCAGTAAACGAAGGACAACCAAGAGAAGCGAGAGTGAGGATGCGAGGACTTTGCTTGGTGAAGAGTGAGGAAGCTTTTTAGGAAGAATGAGGGGAAACTACGCAGAGGCCAAGAGGTCTTTAAGTGAGGTGATATGCTTCTATTAAGGTCTGATAGTAGTAGGGCACCTTCCCATCGGTCGGGATGGGATGTTCGTGTTTAAGTTGGTAGGAATCGGCTTCGTCGCAGCTTCCGTATTCGCCGGCTCCATTATGAAAACCAACCAAAGGAACGATTTGGTGCTCAACACCACACCGATATTGGTATAGATGAACAATTGATGCACAGACTAGGGCCAGTTGGAGGCGATTGCATACGCGTACAACTTCAACATTACAACATGGAGCCTCTACGACTGCCGAAACTGTTTGTATCAGATCTCAAGCAGCACCTTTGAAGACGAGAGCCTACCTTGGGTAGAGAGGCCCTCCCTAGGCCATACTCGGAGAGTATCGAGACACCGGATCACCAGGTCATGACGCGTCGTTTCCTCTTCCTTCCCGGCTACTGCTGCAGTGATGGCCACGACATGCATACGGACTCTCTACATACATACAGTACATCTGCATCTGTTGCTTACCATTTACGAGGATACAGGAGCTTTGTGGCCCAATAGGGGAGAATAATAGCTGCAGAGTTGCAACCGCTTGCCCCAAAGTTCGGTACCTTGAATTCTCATTCGAGGCTAATGATTCAGTTACCACCATGTGTAGCTCATGATGTTGGCTTTTATGGTTTTCACTGTCATCGTCGTAAGCCGGAGGCTAAGCCATTAAACTCAATGGCTCCTCCAATAGACACTGGACGGTACCATCCCGTCAGGTATCCCACTCTGTACAGAGTACGCACTCTAACGTTAGTAGTTTATTGTATTTGCAGAAAGTTGGTCTCGACCGACTAAAGCCAAGAGCCATCATGGGCATCTGAATGGCGCTATTGATGCCATGCCACGTCTTGACTTCTAAGGCTCCGTGTTTGTGCATGAATACCTGATCAGATGCATTTTTGTCCGAACTGAGTTGAGCTGTAGCCTGTGGTGCGAGCCAAGGTGCAATGCAGCACAACCAAGGGGAGCACTACAAGTAGAACCTAGAGTTGGGTACCTAAAGTATAAGGGTGGTCGGTTGGTTGACAGCACAGGCTCCTGGAAAGCAGGGGAGGCTGGGGAGCTAGGAATGGAGGCCTACATAGCAACTAACCACCGCCTGTTATAGGCCTCTCTCAGCAATTCCCAGGTCATCTTGACGTTGTCGATGGTTGTCTCGCCCCTGTTTTATCTCGTGTTAGTGGCACCCACACACCATCTCTGGTGTCGTCTCTTCAACATGGCCCATAGATCCAGCATGATATG